GTACCCTTTAAGGGGTGCCCCTAATAATATTACCTGGTCCAGGGCTTCGAGGTCTTGCGCTTCTGGTTTGTCCATTTCGGGCTTTGGGGCTTAGGGTTTAGGATTTAGGGTTTAGGGTTCAGGCTTTGGGGTTTTAGGGTTTAGGATCTAGGGCTTAGGGTTTTTGGTACTTGGTACACTTCTCGATTTGGGGTTTTGGGTTTACGGTTTTTGATTCAAGGCCTAGGGTTCGAGGTTTACAATCAATGCTCCATTGTGATATGGTGCCCCAGAAACCGTCAACGCCGATCATCTACTCGTGCCAAGCGACAGGCTTTCACGCACCTTGGCTACGCAGGATGCAACTGACGAGGGGCAAGCCCGAGACCCCAAAGCATGAACCCTAAACTCCTTTGCCCTCAACCTGAAGCCCTAAGCCCCAAATGCTGCAATCCCCAGAGCCTTTGGCGATCTAGGCTCTTTTTCGATTCTAAGCTTCGGTTGGCCGCCTTAGCTTACTAGTATCGGGTGTCGCTGTGCCAATGCAACGTTGGTGAGATTTAGGGTTTAGGGCCAAAGTACTATCGTCATGCCATGTACGATCGCAATGCAACACGAAGCCTGCGCTTGAGAATTGGCTGGTGGGTCTTTCACGTCTCAGGTACGTCTTCAGGCTTATTTCCTTCGTCTAAGGGCTTTCGGCTTACGCCTTACATTATTCAATTTCTGGGTAGATCTCTAAACAATGGTCCCTGTTTATGTCCCCAATATAGCACGGCACCGTCATAAAATGGACCCCCCAAACTTGGACGCTAATTTGGTCGCCTTCATCCTTTCATGTGCCAGGGTCAGCAGAAGCAGAACTCAGTGGAGTTTCCGGAAATAAGGGTACCCTATTTGGGGTTCCTTAGAATACGGATCCTACTAATTAGGGTACAATATTAGCGGTCCCCTATTTTCGGAAACCCCTAAATGTGTTTGACACACCAGAAGCGTCAAGGCCATCAAACTGGAAAAGCTTCCACTTGAACCTGAACTTACTGTGCTTTTCGGTGTAATATCTGATTGAGACCTAACTAGCAGGTCCATGATCATGGGGTGGTATGTGGGATTCTATTATCGTCTAGCGTATGAAAGTACCCTGATTCCATCGTAGAACACAGCTCAAATAAATGCCTTGCCACTTTGTACCCTACCATCCCCCCCTCCAAACTCTCGCCTCAAAAAAAAGTTGGATCTTTTCAGGTTCGGCTCGGCTTAGGTCAGGGCTCGGGACTTGGGGCCTAGAGGGGTTTAGGGTTATTTTTTGAGCACCAGGGTTTAGGGTTTAGGGTTGAGTATTCGGGTTTGGGCCCAAAAAAAGGGTCTGTGGACTCGCACTGCTGCTAGGCACAAGACTTGTATGGCAAAGAACTAGATGTCATGAGACTAGGGCGTTGACTCACACATCATATAAGTATCATTCCGAACCGCAAAAGATGATGTTGGCAATTACTTAGGCTTCTATCCCAGAGACTCCAATATCCCTGAATTAAGGAATATACCTTAAATTATAATAGGATCCCTAATATGATTTAAGGTATATTCCTTAATTAGGGGATATTGGAGTCTCTGGGATACTGGCTGGTAGGCGACGAGTCCGTGTTGTGGAGAGCCGGAGGCCGCACATGCACACGACGGCTTTGGGCTTTGGGGGCTTTGTGCGCCACTCGCAGCTCGGAGTCCGGGCAGGTTTCGGCTATGGGGCCTCCAGCGGTTTAGGGTTTAGGGTTTAGGGCCTAGGGTTTAGGGTTTAGGGTTTAGGGTTTAGGGTTTAGGGTTTAGGGTTTAGGGTTTAGGGCCCAGCCCCCCCGAAACCTGATTTTGGGTAGAAATCCGGAAGGCTCCCAACAACCGCCCACGAGCCCACCTCGTAGCCGCCATGCGGGCCGCCACCTCATCTCCTTCCGAACACTACAGTTTTCGGCATGCTTCTACATAGGGGTGTATCGTGTACCAGTCAGGGCTTGAGGCTTAGGGTCTAGAGTCTAGGGTTTACAGTTCAGGGTTTCGGGTTCCCGGTTCATGCGCTGCTGCCATAAACCCAAAAGAAGCTTAACCCAAAACCCCCAGGCCCTACACTCTACACCTCTGAACACCGAAACCCAGACTCCAACCCCTAAAATCCCTAGCCTAGACCCTACTTCACAAATTCAGAAAAAAGGAGAGACCCCATGTAAATTCAGAAAATGAGAGACCCCAGGTAAAAGCTGGGCAGGATCCTGATTACAACAACCTCCAAGTAAAGTGCCCCTACCAGGGAAAGACCCCACCCGAAGCTGCCAACGGATGCCTCGCGCCGCTCGGCTGCGCAGCTGGCTCTCGGCCCGGGGCACGACGGGCCCTTGATTTAGGATCCGGGTGGATGGCCCAGGGTAGGGTTTAGGGTTTAGTAGGGGTTTCGGGTTTAGGGTTTAGGGTTTAGAGCGCGGGGGGTTATGGCTGCGAAGTTCAAGGGCGTCAGAGCTTGGAATTTCTAGGCTAACGTGTCGAGGACTTGAGACAAAAGCACACTCCACTCAAGGAAGACCCATCCTCAAGTTTTTGAACTCTGATGATCAACTTTGAAGTCGGCCACACACGTGCCCCTAAAGGCTTTCCACTTCACCCGGAGTTGGAGCAAGCAGCCCTAGCAGCTTTACTGCGGAGCCAGCTTTCGCATCCGCCGATCGACGGCATCTGAAACTATGCTGGACAAGAGCACCTTTCCGAACTTGTCATGAATCATCTGGTCCCTAAACCCTAAACTCCCTAAACCCTAAAATTTTGGAGCTCTGACCCTAAACCCTAAACCCTAAACCCTAAACCCTAAACCCGTAACTAGCTGCCAGGGGACACCCAAACTGCTTTGCGCGCGGGAACTTCGTGAACTTCGGCGCTGCGACCTGGATTCCGAGCTCAGGGCCTCTACATTCGGTTTAGGGTTTAGGGTTTAGGGTTTAGGGTTTAGGGTTTAGGGTTTAGGGTTTAGGGTTTAGGGTTTAGGGTTTAGGGTCCTCTACATGAGCAGTTCTCTAACTTCGGGTCCCCTTTCGGGGTCCCTTTAAGAAGGGTGCCGTACTATCTTCTGAGAACCTCAAAAGGAACCCTAACTTAGAGAACTAGCCACATGGGCTTGCATGGATTTCTTTACTAACTCATCAGAAATGCTCTTCCTTGGGGCTTCTTGTTTGCTGAACCCTTTTGCGGCAGGCTTCTCTGGCCCGGAACAGACACCCTTTTTACACAGGCTTGATTGGAGCTGCCCGGCCAATTTCCCTCACAGCACATCGCACTCGACCCTAAACCTTTTGTGAGGAACCCTAAACCTAAACCCTCAACCCCAAACCCTGAACACTTCTATCACTTAGTGACGTAGCTGCTGGGTTCATGAGCCCGTAAACTTTCAGTGCAATACCGTCCGAGCCTCCTGAACCCCAAACCTTAAACTGCCCTGCCCTGCCCAGCCCAAACAACAGCCCCAAAGCTTCAAACCTACACGTCAAACCTGAAGCCCTGAACTGTTAGACCCAACAACACACGGAATGAACAACCCAAGAAACTGACAACAAGAACATAGGGTTTAGGGTTTACTGTTTAAGGTTTAGAACCCTCGCCCCAAAAGAACTTAACAGTACCACTGAAAGCCTTACGTAAGCCCCAAGCCCATAATCAAAGCCACGTGTCTTCTTTGTTCTCGCTGGACAACGCCTGCAGAGCCACGAGCGAGCCGATGCACTGGGCCCAGCCTCAGCTTCTTTCTTCGTGGTGTGCTTGCTACGCTGGTTTCGTTCATGTTTTTTCTTGCTATTTGTATCAAGGACGTTGTCCTTATTCATGGTGCTGTATTTGTCTTGTTCTCTGCACGCTTCTCGTTCTGGTTCATGCTATCCCTGTTTGAAGTGCTATTGCGCTTCGTAGGTGGCAGTATTTTCATGTTGTTATTATTGGGGGTTCTGGTGGTTTCATGTGGGGCTGTTGTTGTTGGTGGTGCTGCTGCTGCTGCCGCTGCTGCCTGCGATGACCCCAAGCGGGAATGGTGCAGGTGGTCCGACCGCATACTGCCACCGATTTTTTCATCATCATCATCATCATCATCACTAGCATCATCATCATCATCATCATCATTCTCATCATCATCATCACTAGCATCATTGTCACCATGTTACTTCCTATACCCAACACGCTATGCTGTAGACCCTGCTGAACCATCCCCAGATCTCCCCCCCCAACTTTGGAGGTTCAGGGTTCTTAGGCGTGTGGCTCCGGGCTTGGGGTTTAGGGCCTTGGGTTTAGG